TTTACACTCTCAAATGGAACGGCATCACCCTTCGTGCTTTACACTCTCAAATGGCACGACATCACCCTTCGTGCTTTACACTCTTACTTACCAAGCACATGTATATCATTAACAAACAAGGTAGGAAGCATAAATAACATCAAGGAGAGTGTTTAAACGACAACACAATACAACAATTCATATCACAATTTGCCCACCTGCCACAACCAACTCCAAAGATACAACAAAAATCAATTAATTTCAAAGCAAATAGCCCAATGCTCCACAAAACGTATACAAAACCTCAAAAACAATAACAGATATGGGAAAGTAACTTAGCATATGACAACACCTTCTTTAATCTAAAATTTTGATAAATATATTAACGCCTCTTTTTAAGCTTATTTAATTAATTATTTGCATATGAAAAATACATAATGAAATTAATTCCAAGAAATATCAAATCAACAAACACACAGAATTCACATAAAATCCAAGTGGCAGTCACCCTAATTATCATATAAAATACAAACTCGACAAACAAGGAACGAGGCATGACAAATAAAGGATTTACTATGTTCCAATGATTTTCCAATTTAATATATAAGGCTGTCTACGAATTATAACCAGTATAAATTACACATATAAATCAAGTACGTACTCGTCACCTCGCGTACATGATTTCCAATCACCCAAATTCCAAATAAGACTCAATGTCTAAGGGCTAATTCCCTCACTCAAGGTTAGGCAAGATACTTACCTTTTTGAAGTTATGCCGATATTCCAAAATAGCCGTCTTGAGTGAATTAATCCTCCAGACAACTCAAATCTATTCAAATTAATTGTATAATTTCATTAAAATTCATCGGAACCAATTCCGGATAATATAACGTCGATTTAAAATTTTATTCTAAAAAGACAACCAAAGCCAACGCGGGACCCGCCTCTCTGAGCCTGATAGAATTTTAACAAAATTCGAATACCCTTTCCGATACGAGTTCAATAATACCAATTTTATCAAATTCCGATAACAACTCGACCTCCAAATCTTAAATTTTTGTTCTTTAAGAGATTTTGCAAAAATCCCAATTTCTTCCATTTAAATCCGAATTAAACGATGAATATAACCATGGATTTATGAAATATAAGTACTTTCGAATATAGAATACTTACCCAAGTCGAAGTAGTGAACAACTCCTCCAAAATCGCCTCAAAGTCAAGCTCCAAAAATCCAATCGAAAATGGCGAAATGACCATTTTTGGTCCTTTATGTTTCTGCCCAGTTCCGCTTCTACGGACATATTTGTGCATCTGCGGCCTCGCTCTTGCAAGCCAAAATGCGCATCTGCAAAGTCCCAATATCCACTTCCCAATAGGAGCTTGCATGTGCGGAAGAAATTGCGCTTCTGCGGTGTCGCTTCTGTGACAAAATGGTCGCTTCTGCGATCACACCCACTACTGCCAGCTTCTGCTTCTGCGTCTTCTTTTCTCGCTTCTGCGATCCCGCAGGTGCGGGAATTACTTCGCACCTGAGACCACTACCATGTCGCTTCCCTTTTTGCTTCTGTGATGGAAGGCATCGCTTCTACGATGTCGCTTCTGCGATGAAGCTTCCGCAGAAGCAAAAATATCAGCTGCTGCCCAGAAATTCCAGCAGCTTTCTTCAAGTCCAAATTGATCTGTTAACCACCCGAAATCCACTCGAGGCCCTCGGGACCTTAACCAAATAAACAAACATATCCCAAAATACAATACGAACTTAGTCGAGGCTTCAAACCACATCAAACAATGCCAAAATTACGAATCGCGCCTCGAATCAAATTATGAGTTTTCAAATCTTCCAACTTCTATATTTTAGGCCGAAATGTATCAAATTAATCTGGAATGACTTTAAATTTTGCACACAAGTCATAAATGACGTAATGGAGCTGTTCCAATTTTCGGAATTGAAATCCGACCTCGTTGTCAATCAATCTACTTATGGTCGAATTTATGAATATTTCAATAACTTCATTTTCCAACTTTTTGCCGAAATGTACCGAATTGTCCTACGAACTTTCAAATCCAAATCCGGATATATGCCTAAGTCCGAAATCACCATACAAAGATATTGACATCATCAAAGTTCCATTCCGGAGTCGTTTCCTCAAAAGTCAACTCTTTTTCATTTTAGCTTCTAAAATAAGAATTATTCTTTCAATTTAATTCCCAATCTTCCGAAAACCAAACTCGACCGCACACGCAAGTCATAGTACATATTATGAAATTGATCGGGACCTTATGTCTCTGAGCGGGACGTAAATTCTTAATATGATAAGTCGGGTCGTTACAATAGTAGTGGAGATGAAGATGATGTAGTACAAAACGCTCATTGAATGATGTTTGAACTTTTAACTTGTGAAATATTTTATTGTTGGGTATGATGTTTTGTTAATATAGTTTAGTGGAGATGGAGATGGAGATGGTGATAATGTTTTGTTAATATAGTTTTGATAGTTGTTATTGTTGTTGTTATTGTTGTTCTTGTTGTTGTTATTGTTATTGTTATTGTTGTTATTGGTTGAATGGAAGCAATGTAATGCTTCCATTATAGGTGATTGGTTGTTGGAAGGTGGTGCACCTATAAAACAGTTGTTTTCTGCCAAACAATTACCCAAAAAACCGACCGACTTCGGTCGGAATTTTTGATTTTAAATTTTAATTATTTAAATTATACCGACCGATATTTTAACAATTATTTATTTTAAAATGAATAATTATATATTTTAACAATACCGACCAATTTCGGTCGGAATTGAATAATTAAAAAAAATGAATAATTAAATTTCCGACCGAATTCGGTCGCTAATTTAAAAATAATTAAAAAATATTTTTAACAATACCGACCGAATTCGGTAGGTAAAATTAATTTGTGTCAGACAACTTGGTCAAACTACGTTGATAGTTATCGACCGACTTCAGTCAGAAAACAGCGACCGAATTCGGTCGCTCCCCGTTTGCGACCATTATTTTATCGACCAATTGAAAACGGTCGGAATTCGGTCGGTTTTTGTTGGATTCCTACCGATTTCGGCCAGTTTTTCTGGACGCTTTTTGGCTATTTTTTAGTAGTGACTTGTTTACTTTATTATACTTATGGGTAAGGTCATTACGTACCCTCCCCCTTAAAACCATCCTTGACCTCAAGAATGAGGAAAAGAATCAGAACATTTCGCTTTAAGGAACTGATAGTCTTCACAAGTTGCATCTTCCGGTTGCAGGTTGGACCATGGCACTAACATCTTGACAACTGTTGCATTAATCTTCTTCACCATCTTTCTTTGTAGGATTGCAACTGGCTTGACTAGAAATTGTCCATCCTTATTAGTGCTAGGAAATGCAGTTTGCACAACAACTTTGTCGCCAACCATCTTCTTGAGTTGGAATACATGAAACACATGATGTACTTTAGATTCCGGAGGCAAATTCAACTTCTATGCTACCGTGCCACTTCGAGCCATCACCTTGTAAAGCCCATAGTATTTAAAACTTTGCTCTGAATTCTTCCTTAAGGCAATAGAAGTTTGCCTATATGGCTGGGGTTTTAAACAGACCATGTCACCAACTTGGAATTCTCTGTCAGTTCTTCTCTTATCAGCATAGTACTTCATCCTTTCCTGTGCCTTGCGCAAATTATCCTTCAGCAGTTGGTGCATTTGTCATCTCCTCATAACAACATCTTCAGGTGCTGGGAATATGGTCTCTAACAACGGACCAACGGATAGATGAGGTAGAGAATAGCCATACATAACTTCAAAAGGGGTGTATTTCATGCTGGTATGAAAGTTGGTGTTGTACCACTATACTGCAGCACTTAACCACTTCTTTCAAAGAGTAGGTCTGCTAGCAGTCACGCATATGAGGTAGTTCTCCAAACTCTTATCACTCTATCAGTTTGGCCATCACTTTGATGGTGATAGGTTGTACTGTAATGTAACTGAGTCCCTAGTAGTTTGAATAATGCCTGCCAAATATTTCTCAAGAAGATCTTGTCTCTATCAGTAACAATAGGTTCAGGTGTGCCATGTAGGCTATGCACCCTTTTCCAAAATACATCAGCTACTGTTGATGTAGTATAGGGATGGAAGAGAGATATGAAGTGAGCACACTTAGTCATTCTGTCTACCACCACCAGTATCACTTCCTTATATCTAGACTTAGGCAACTCCTCAATAAAGTCCATACTAATATGGCTCCAAGCTTGATTAGGGATGGGGAGGGGTTGTAATAAGCCTAAGTAAGCGATATCGTCTTCCTTACTTCTGACACATACATTAGTGCTAGACACAAACTCAATAACTATTTGTTTCATTCCAGGCCAATAAAACAGTTGTGCTAGTCGTTTAAGGGTCCCTAACTATCCAAAATGACCACCCATTGGAGAGTCATGAAAGGTGGCAATCAACTGCTGTTTGAGGGTCCCATATGTGCCAATATAAACCTTTCCTTTTCTCCTGAGAATGTCAGATGTGTAATATCACAGATTAGGACCCCGTAGATCCACTGTAAGCTGAGTAATCAGATCTATAGCCTGAGAATCACCTTCATAGCTGGAAGTAACTTCTTGCATCCAGGTAGTAAATGAGGCTCTAATAGCCAATAGTTGTCCAGTATCTTGTGGTAAACTAGCATTCCCACTCTCAAGCTGCTTTGAGAGAGCATCTGCCGCCTTATTTTCAACACCCTTTTTATATTGCACCTCATAATCCATCCCCAGAAGTTTTGTCAGCCCTTTTTGTTGTATAGCAGTAGTTACTTTTTGCTCTAATAAGTATTTCAAGCTAAGGTGTTAGGTTCTGACCACAAAGTGTTTGAACTACAGATAATGTCTCCATTTGTCCACTACATTCAATAGAGCCATGTATTATTTTTCATAAATTGACTGGCCCATGTGCCTTGGTGCTAACACTGTACTAAAATAGGCCACTGGTCTTCCCTCTTACATTAACACAACACCAATTCCACTGTGACTGGTATCTGTTTCAACTATGAATTCCTTGGAAATAATCAGGTAATATCAACACTAGAGTTGAAGTCATAGCAGACTTGAGGGTCGAAAATGCTAGCTCAGCATCTTCACTCCATTTAAAGGAGTCCTTCTTGAGGAGATCAATAAGGGGTCTGCATATGGCCCCATAACCGGCAACATACTTTCCGTAATAACCAGTAAAACCCAAAAATCCTCTAAGAGCTTTAACTAAACTAGGCCTAGGACATTTAACCATAGCCCGTATCTTGGCAGGATCAGTGGAAACACCTTCTTTAGTGATTATGTGGCCTAAGTATTCCACTTGAGGCTAACCAAATGAGCATTTTGACTTCTTAGCAATAAAAGAATGACCTCTTAGTATATCAAGCACAACAACTAAGTGTTTAATATGCTCCTCTAATGATTCACTATAAATGAGTATATCATCAAAGAAGACTAAGACAAACCTCCTCAAGTATGGTTGAAAAACCTGATTCATCAAGGCTTGAAAGGTGGCAGGAGAATTTGTCAGTCCGAAAGGCATAACCTTGAACTCATGTTCCATTCTTCTTTTTAACAAGGAGTGTTGGTGATGAAAAGGGTGATTGGCTCTATTGAATGATGTCATTCATCTCCTTGACTTGCCTCTCTAATTCATTTTTCTGGTAATAGTTGTACCTGTAGGGTCTCAAACTTAACACCAGGTTTGAGAGGAATTGTGCGGTCCTAGGCTCTCACAGGAGGTAAGGACTTAGGACTTAGGCTCAACAAACACATAATCATATTGTTCCAACACCTCTTGAATGGCCTCATGCACTTTCTCTTGATCATTAGTCACCGTTGAGTTAATCATGAACAAATGAGTCAAAAGTGCTTGCCCATTCTTTAACACTTTGCCCATGGTACTGGATATCAGGTTCAACTTACCCTCTTCAGGAATGCCATGCAATACCAGCTTATTATCCTTTCTTCCAATAGTGACACAGTTCCTCTCATGTCAAACTTAGTGGGATTATGTTTCTTCATCCAGTCATTACCTAGAACAATGTCACAACCACCTAATGGAATAATGAGCAGGTCCTCTTTGAAGGATCTGCCTTGCATTTTCCACAGGAAATCCTTGCAGTGTGAGGTACACATGACATAGTTGCCGTCAATCAATCAGCAATGCAATGTTCCTATTTTTGACAGAACCCTTAGCCAATATAGTGTTGACTCCTTGGTTGTTCCCTGATAAGGCACTCATACACACAACCTGCTGCACAACCTACTTTATGTCACCTTCAATTATTAAGTCTGCAATGGAGGGATCCTCAATATCAGTAGGGCATTCTGGAGTAACTTTCACCTCTCCTACTAGATAATTCAGATGTTTCTTTATGCATAAATGACCTGGCATGTACTTTCCCACACCTGATGCACAAATAATTGTTCCTTATTTACTCATACACTTCAGGACTAAGCCTGAAAGCATTAGGCCTAACAGTATTGGCTCTTGAAGCCTTGACATTAGTGTAATTGTTCACCACAGCTGGAGGTTTGAAACTATCCTCACTCTTCCTTTGAGCACCTTCAATTGCCATGTCTTGTAGCCTTGCCTTCTCAACAGCAAACTTAAGTGTAGTAGGCTTGAATAGCTTCACGCCAAATCAAACTTTCTCCTTCAGAGCCCCTATGAAACTAGATATGAAATGAGATTCATCGAGATACCATTCTGACTAAGCTTGTTGAATTCCTCTCCTATTTCACCCATTACTGCATCTCCAAATTGATAGATTAATTCCTCCTTGAACGCAGTCCAATTAATCTCACCTCTACTCAATGTTAAGGAATGATACCAAGTCTCAGTTAAGCCATTCAAATATAGTGCAACTACTTCGACCTTCTAATTGTCTTGAGTTCTATATAAACTGAAATACCTTTCACATGTACGGATCCATACCTTAGGTTCATGACCTTCAAAGCTGGGCAGTTCCCATTTAGGAGGAGGAATTGGAACAACTTGATTCCTTTTTTGTCTCACCTCCTGAACTGGCAGAGGCAACTGCCCATCTCCATGCCTATTTTCACCTTGAGCTCTATTAGGTACCCTTTCTAAAGCTGTCAAGAATCAACTCTAGGGTTCCTTGAATCCTTGTTTGCGTGTCACAAAATTCCCGTTGACTGGTGAGCACCTGCTCCAACACGTCATCATGCCTAACAAGTTTGTCATCCATAAATTTAAGGCGAGTTCCTTCTACAATTCTCACCACACAATCGTAGAATTGAGGCTATGATACCAAATATCAGGATCCTGATATGGATCTAAGTTAAATTCAGTAATAAAATGATATTGCAAGCAATTGGAATAAGTTTTTGGATTTTTATAAATGGTAAAATGAATATCAAACTACAAATAAAAAATTGTTGAATTAAGCTAAGCTATCTAAATGATAAGTCGTCGCCAAAGTCACTGGAATCTGCATAAATGAAGAAGAGAAGAGAGTCAGAATTGGGAGAAGAGAAGAGAAGGGAAGCGAATGAGAGAAGAGAGTGGAGGGAGTGTGAGACCTGTTATTCGTTATTTTCGTTCTCTCCATTCGTTTGGTATATAACAACCAACTGTCACCGTGGAAACATCTTGTCCCTTGCTGTTCATTTATGGAAATCTAATCGTGGCCGTCCTTTTTGATAGTTAATTATCCTTAGTATTACCCTGCCCGTGTTCGAACCTAGCTGGCTTCACTTGTTTACTCTATTCTATTTATGGGTAAGGTCATTACATCCGCACTACGATTTCGAACATAATTTCCTAAATTTTTAAGTTAAATAGTTGTTTAACACTTTTATATTATTTCACACATAATTGCCCTAACGTTTTACGTAAATAGTAGTTTAATATAATTGCCTAAATTTATACCAATTTTTTGCCACTTATCCAATGGAAAAATTTCTTTTCTTCACCGTTGAAACCCAAATCAAGGAGATAAAAGTAAAGCTCTCATCCACCTATTCGCTAGTAGATCAATCTTTAGTCAAAAGAATAATTGACTTATGAAATGAATTTATCTGCATGCTATGCTTAGTGAAACTAATGAATACAAGATACAAGAAACTTAGTAATGGTTAAGTGATTGATATTCTCACTTTAATTTGTTACTCTTTTTATTAAATTGCTTGAAGGAAGGGGGTACACTTGTACTCTCTAATATACTTGCTAGACTCGTACCAATGTAGTAAAGAATTCAATTGCCAAACTTTTTATTCTTTGTTTTATCAAATATACTACTAGGTTAGCTGCCTAGTAGTTAATATATATATAAAAGCCCAAACTGGGTCCAAGTCTTACAATTTGGCTAACTAAAACTAGAAAGAGTACCCTAAAGCTAACTATTACAAATGAAACAATGAGCATATATGAGCTAGCTATTACATAAACTGTATGCGAAGACCTCCAAAAGACCATGATGCACGTGTATCCACCAGTCAAATGCAAAAACCTCAAAGTAGCACCTACAAAACTCTCACCAGGCGCCAGTTTTTGCAATCCTAAGGACATGGCAATAATGAATACCAAACAGCTACACCACAACATATAGGACCAAGCAATCTTCTTCAGTACTGTCATGAGAACACATCTGCAGCATGATGCAATTTCCAGCATGTATGATACAGTCCTCACTAGCAGTAGCCAATAACATTTGTGACCTAGTTGTGCACAAGCAAATCCATGTCCAATAGCAACATAAACCCTAGAGATAGGGTTTAACCTCAGAAAGAGACTCCGATATGATGCTATACCATCCCCAGATTGAGCATTATACAATTCTAATGCCATTGGGAAATGATACAGCACCATACAATACCAAATCTGGCCAACAGAGTCTAACAAAAAACACCTATTGTTGAGTACAGAAAGGTACACATGAGCTGAGTTGCAAACCTGCATGCCTAAGAATACCTCGTACCCAATATTGAGTTCAGAACTTAACAAGCATATTACCAAAGCTAGAGATATTAAGAACACTTCACTTGTGATAATTTGTAGAACCTAAAGGACTGCCTGCTTGAAGTATGTATTCCATATAGTGCCCAACCACCCCCAAGCTGAGCATGAAGCCATACTAATACCACTGGATAGTAGCTTGACCCTATATAGATGACACAAGAACAAGCAATAGCAGGCAATGTGTGTATGAATTCACTCATCAATTAGGTGCTTTCCTCTTTGCAACCATAACCCTAAAATTAGGGATTTGGGCCTTGTCTAGGCTGATTAGTTTCCTTCCTGCCTAGTGCAATTCAGTAAATGATTGGAATGTTATTTTACCTGCAAAAGAAAACACAAGGTTAGCTAAAAGATCTGCCACAATATTACCCTCCCTTAGCACATGTTGAAAGATCACATTAAATTGATCCTTCATCTCCTTAATCATCTTCACTTCCTTCCCTATACACCAATGTGCTTCCCATTCACCATTAATAATCCTATTCATCACTAATGAATCAGTCTCAATGATGAGCATATAAAGCTACATATCAACACAATAAGAGAGCCCTTCAATAATTGCCTTTGCCTCAACTACTATATTTGTTGACAACACTATCTCTTCTGCCTTCGCATACACCATATCTCCAGCACAATCTCTCACACAAAAGCCATAAAAACTTGGCGTAGGGTTACCTCTAGAAGTACCATCAGTATTGCATTTGAACCACCCATCATAAGGCAACTGCCAAGTGATTCTTTTAGTGACAACAAAAGGCTTATAACCTTAAAAGAATCTAAACATATCTGGCCAAAGTTGAGGAATATTTGGTTACCAAGGATACCTTACTCTTGCAAGGTAATGTAAAGTTTTGTTAATCTCATGCACCACCCTATTAAATGATATTGCACCTCCATGCTTCATAGTGTTCCTACTCTTCCAAAGTTCCTAAGAGATAATAGCTGGAGCTGCTTTGATATACCATGCTTTGATAATTTGATGAATTTGCACCAGGTTCGCCACCACACCTCCAGCCTATAAGAACATCTTACACACCCTAATAGTAGTAGCACTTGGGAGGAAAATATGCTGAAATGTCTCCTCTTGTGGTGGTAAGCAGCACCAACACTTAGAGACAGTTAAGTAACCACCTCTCCTCCATAAATCATATGTAGGTACTTTCCCTTTCCATAATCTCCATAAAAAGAAGGATATTTAAAAGGAAAACATTTGGTCCATAACAACTTGTATTCTGGATTTGTTGGAGCCCTATGCCTCAATATTTTTCAAGCACTACTAACTATAAACTTACGTGAATGGGTTGGCATCCATCTAGGTGTGTCCCAGAACTCATCAGTGTTATCAAAGTACACTTTTTGCCTTATATGCTCATCAATTTCTTCTGGAAAAGACTGCTCCAACACTTGATCATTCCGGTCATCTTCATCTCTCAAATCTCCACCTCCTGTAAATCTTCATTGATATTGAACTCAGGGGTACTACATGATACAATGCTCCAAGGCCAGTCCAATTCTCATGCCAAACATTAATGGAACCCTATTCATTTCCCACAAAATTTCATGTTCCACCTCCTCTCTTGCCTTTAACATTTTCCTCCATACATGTGATCCTTCTCTAAAATGTACCATAGTAGGCAACTCTTTTTTGCAATATTTAGTCCACATAAATTTCGACCACAATGATTTAGATGTCCTGAACCTCCATCATAACCTGGAAAACAAAACTTTAGAAACATCAAATAAAGATCTGAACCCTAATCCACCTTCCTCTTTAGGAAGACATAAGTTTTGCCACTTAGTCCAGTGTCTGCTTCTGCCCTTTTCTTTTGTACTCCAAAAGAATCTAGCAAAGATCTTATGTAAGTGCTCTAGAATGTTATCAAGAGGATCCAAAACTGAAAGAATGTGAGTAGGTAAGCTTTGAAGCACACTAGATATGAGAGTAGCTTTGCCTCCAAAAGACAGTAGCTTTCCTTTCCAGGAATGTAGTTTTGCCTTCACCTTATTAATGAGATCATTGTAATAGTCTTTCCTCCTTCTTGTGTAAAAAATTGGACACCCTAGGTAAGTAAAAGGGAACTTACCTCTCTCAAAGCCAGTTACATCACCTACAATA